ACTTCTGGTCTTCACCTTCCATTTCTCTGTTCACCTTGAACCTCTTCCACAGAGACATCATGGTGAGGTTGTCTAGCCCACCAAGCTTGTTTTTTCATTTTGTCTTCATCAAGTCCCTTCAGCTCAGCCATCAGGCTTTCAATTTGGTCATGCCTCTTGACTTGTGCCTCTGTGAGGTCACCCTCAGTGCCTTCCACTTCTTCGACTGGCTGGCTAGTCCTTTTTTTCTTTGTGTCAGCTGTGGCTGGTTTCTTGCTGACACTGGCTGCAGCAGCTGCTGCAGGCCTCTTCATGCCCATGGTGACAGCTGGCTATTCAGTATGGGGTGCCCTAGTCTTGAACCTGGTCGAAAACTGGTACTCACAATTCATTACTTCATATTACCTTTCTTTACTGTTTATTACTTCTATTACTGTTTATTACTGTCTATTACCCTTTATTACTTTTATTACCTTTTATTACCTTTTATTACTTTTCTTTACTGTTTATTACTTCATATTACCTTTTATTACCTTCTGCCTTTTTGGGCTGTCCAGCCCACCCTCTTGGGCTGTCCAGCCCACCCTTTTGGGGGCTGTCCAGCCCATTTTAGGAACCTTTGGGCTGTTCAGCCCACCCACTTGGGCTGTCCAGCCCACCCATGTGGGCTGTCCAGCCCACAGCCCACCACACCAAGCTGCGAAGATTCTTTTTTCTGCCAAGCTTCTGTGTTGAAGCTGCTTCACTTATTGAGCAGGGGGCTGTCCAGCCAGGGCTTTGACAAGAACTCATGGCATTGGACTTGGGATGTTAGAGATAACATTGGGCTAGAGTTGACATACCAAAAAGGCCCAGAGCATGGATGCCCAAAGTATAGGGGGGGCCCACAAATCACACAAACACTTTCTGTTCAACACAGGGCCTCCCTATGGCTAGGATACAAGGCTGTCCAGCCTAATTGAGGCTACCCAGCCTAGAATTCCAATACCTCAGAGTCATAGGAGTCGAGTGCCTCTTCCAGTGACTCTACAGCTGCTGCCCCTCTGAAGCTGTTGCAGCTGGGCCTCATGCAGCCAAAGCACTGCCTGCCCCTCACTTTGCTCCTTTTGGCCACATAGCTGCTGTAGCCACATGTTCTGCAGCGACCAAACCAGATGGAGGGATGAGGCTCATCCCAAAAGTCAGTCCTGGGCACAGTTCACTATAAGAGGCTGTCCAGCCTAGTACCAAAGCAGAAAACAAATACACATGTGTGAAAAATACTGTGGTGGGCAAAATGTAGCCAAATGTCTTTTCCATCTCTATGGCCAGTAGAAGCCCACCAGCATCACTACTATGAGAAGGGGGGTCTACTGTCTCAGCAGGGAGTTTTTTCAGTTGTTGTAGTTTGAGTTTCTCCCTTTTCCTGCTTCCACTCTTCTGCTGTCCACTCACTGGTGCCCTTTTGCCACCACCAATTGCCGCACCAGTGCTCAGCACCCATAGAGTCATCTGCCTCTGCAGGCTCTGCTTTGGTTGCCTCATTCACCCCTGAACCAGAAGGCTTATCAGCCCATGTAGCAGTGATCTGCTCCCAATCAGCTGCGGTTTTGCACCAGGGTGCTTTTTGCTCAGGCAGGTCTGGCTTCTCATCCTGGGCTGGTGGGTGAGGCTGGGCTGGTTGAGGCTCCTCAGCCTTCTGGTTGCCAGGCTCCTCAGCTTGGGCTGGTGCAGGCTGGGGTGGTTGTGGAAGCTTGTCAGCCTTGGCTGGTTGTGGAGGCCCCTCAGTGTGGGCTGGTTGAGGCTCAGGAGATGGTTGTGGCTCAGGCTGAGCTGGTGGAGGCTGGGCTGGTTCAGGTGGGAGGGTTGGTGGTGGTCCTGCAGCCTTGCTGGCCACACCTGGTACCCAATTATCATGCCATTGGGGCTGGGCTATGATGAAGGGTTGCTGGTGCATTGCTGCATTAGGTTGCATCCACCCAGACACCTGCTGCATTTGCTGCAGCATCATCTCATGCTGCTGTTGCTGCTGTGACCGACTTTGCTGTAGGAGGGATTCATTCATCCTTTCCACTAAGGCTTCCATGTAGTTGAGCCAGTCCCCTCCTGCAAGGTCAGGCTGCCCAGCCTAGAACATTTTTTAGAAAGCTCCACAGTCAGGACAGACATCAGGACATTCAACTCAGAACACACACACTAGGGCTTTTGACTCAGGGCAGACATCAGGCTGTGTCAAAAAAAGGAAGAGGCTGTCCAGCCTGAAGGTGAAGGCTGTCCAGCCTGCAGTTGAAGGCTGTCCAGCCTGGAAAAAAAAAGAAAGTCCTGCATCAACCTTCTCCTTGACCCTCTCCAGGTACTTCCTGTGGGACTCATGTAGCCCCAGGTTCAGCCCACTCATCGACTGGGTATAAGAGACAAGGTTGTGCATGAACACATTGTAGGGCATCTCTGGGTTGTAGCCCTGCCACAAGCACCTCAAGTTGTCTCTGAACACAGAGGCCCCTCCACCACCTCTCTGGTCATGAGTTGCAGGACCTTTCCCATAGACATCTGGCGCCTTCCCTTTTTGCTGCCCCTTTGCAGGGGCAGCTGCTCCTTTCCCTTTGGCATCCATGGCTGCTTAAGCCAGAACTTGCTTGGGCCCTACAAAGTTGCAACACAACATATACTTGCTATGGCTGTCCAGCCAAACTAAACAAGGAAGGGCTGTCCAGCCCAATGCCACCAAAAAAGGGCTGTCCAGCCCATTGCAAATAACTGCTGAAAAAAGGGCTATCCAGCCCAGGCACCTGCTTTGAAGAGGGCTGTCCAGCCCACTGGAAAAGCATTGCTCACCAAAAAAGAACGGCTGCCATTGTAGGAGACAAGCTGCAGATGTTGAGTGCATGCATTGTCCAGCCCATTTGGACACTTGGGGCTGTCCAGCCCATTTGGAAAACACTTGGGGCTGTCCAGCCCATAAAAGACCTACAGTGGAGGCTGTCCAGCCTTGAAAAACCTCTGTTGAAAATTCAATCGTTTTGGTCTTTGTTTTTCAATCGAAATAGGTTTTTGTTTAGAGACATTTCTATTGAAAATGGTTCCCAAAAATCAATCTTCAATCGAAGATTGATTTTGTCAAAAAATCAATCGTTCTATTGAATTTTTTCAATCGCGGATGCTTTGGGGATGTGATTACATGGCTAAGCAAGCTGTTGATCCTCAAGGCTAAGGGACTGTCCCCGGGCCAGGTGCTGAAGAGATGGAACGAGTCAGCAACTCGGGAGTCTTCTGTGCAAGGCGCAAAAAGGACAGCGTTGCTACTGCTACTGGATCTGCCTGCTGATTCAACGCAGTTGCTCGTGCACCATACCGCCACATTTGGGGCAGAGGGCGCGTTCAGTAACGAGGCTTTTGCAAATAAGCGATTGGCTACGGGTTACACTCCTCGTGGAATGCCGCGCCAATGGCAAACCAGGCTCACCAACACAGTGGACGGCTTCAACTTGTTTGTCCGCTATGTCCACGCCAGTCATGAGCGAAAGATCAGAGAGTTACGGAAGAAGTGGGACAAGTCAGCGCTGGAAGAGGCCATGTCCATGTCCCAGCTACTGGCTTCGTTCATTGTGGAACTGCAGCAGCAGCATGCGGTGAGCACAGCACTCATTGAAGAGAAAGCTATCAATCCATTTTTGAGCGGAGACGCCAACCTGGAATTGGAACTACAAGCAGCAGTGAGTGAGTGCAAAGCCGACGCGCAGCCAGCGGACATCTCAGTGTTCAAGGAAATTTTGGCCGTGATCCTATCCAAACGTGACTCAAAACTTGCAGCAACTGGCCAAGGACCCCGCATAACCGCCGGAGAATTGGAGCTCCAAGCCTTCAATGTGATGATGGCAAGCGCCGACCACGATGTGGCCGCATTTTCTGCATGGCGCCTAAAATGCTCAGATAGAGAAAGCGCACAGTATTTTCAGCAGTTACAGCACAGCGCCCGACGACAGAAACAAGCAAGGGAAATAGCAGCCAGCGTGACCGAGGCCGGACCAACGTGGCTAATGCAATTGGAAGTTTTCCAGAAGCAGGACAGCGCCAATTTTGCTACCGTCTCTGCAGTCGCTGACAAAATTCAGCGCTTGCACCAACTGTCAGACCGGGCCTCTATTCATTGCATTGCAGTTTTGAACTGCGGTCTACAGCGGAGCAACGCAGAAAGCTCAGGCAAATTTGTGTGGTGGCATCGTGAACGGGCTCGGTCGCTCCATCGGAGTCTGCCTAAGCCCCATTCACTTTTACAAGCGCGGGAGCTTGCGCAAAGCCGAACAGACATGCCTGACCATGTTGACAAACGCAGCTTTAAACAGCGATTTGCGGTTCGCCCTGGCATATGCCTGCAAGACAGACGAGCGCGAGAAACGCCCCATGCTGCAGCCCGGCATCATCCTACTCCCTGGTGGACCGGATGAGTCGGCTTCTCACAAAGTGGTGTGGCAAACATGGCGGGCATCCGGTATGCTAAGCAAAGGCGCCATCACAGAGGTCACAATGAACCCATCCAACTCAATGCACGTGATTGAGGACATGCGGGACGATGCGCTTCCAGACTCATCGGACACCGCCACTCATGTCTCTCAGGCAGAGAAGAGTATTCAGATAGGGGAAGACGCTGCGCGCAAGCTGCTGCAGGCTGCATTGCCTCAAGGTTTGAGCCGCGCAGCTATCTTGATTTGTGATCTGTCCGCTCACACCCTGGACCTAGCAAAGGCGGTGTACCGTGAGAAGGTTGCAAAATCCATCACGACACCCTTGTATTATGTAGGCTTTGCCGAGAACGATGCCGAGAAAGAGTGGCAAACGCATCATCTGCATGGCTGGCTGAGCGAAGGCTTTTTGAACGGATCGATCCCTTTACCGCCGGGAGCACCAGTTCTGATGTCTAAAGATTTGCCAGCTGAATCAGTCAGCGCGCTTCCACCCAAGCCGGACCTCAGCACGCTCAATTGGTCACAGAAAAAGGACAGCAGTGGTCTTCCGTCACTGGTGACACCGCCCAAGTTACTGACAGCGTGGCATGACCATGCGGTGTACGGTGGTCAGTTTCAGGAATGGCTAGCCCGAACACGGGCCGCCATTCCACTGGACCTCGCTGAATGCGCTTCGGCAAAGGCAGCCGCAACCAATAAAAGAGCCGCTGGCCAGGCGGATGCTTCGGTCCAGCCACCTCAAAAAAATCCGCGAGGCAGCCCCGACGAGGAAGAGGATGCCGCTGCAGCTACTACCATGGCAGCAGCCACCATCCCTGCCACAGATGTGCCAAAGCCTTTGGCGTGGCAAGCAACACTGCCAGGAAACCAGACCAAAGGAAAAGTCGGCAAATTAGTGATCGCGGTCGGAAAGCGTGTGTTCGTGGTGAATGACAGCACTGCGGATCTGCTCTTGCCAGCGGGCTCCACACTTGCGGGCTACTACAAAGGAAAATTTGTGTCTTTCAAAGGCAAAAATGCCGACGATGAGCAGCGGTCTGGGGATGTGCACTTCAAACTACAAGATGCCAGCAGCATAGTCCTCTACGAGGGCAAACTGATTCCTGCGGGCACTGTCGTGGCGCAGAAAAAGGCGGTGACACCCTTGACCGCGAAAGTCTGCTACCACGAAATTGTCGAGCAACCCACTGCAGCTGACAGCAAGTTTTTCACCCTGACAGTCACCAACCCGATTGCATTTCGACCCGAAAATGCCCCAACGAGCGAAGACAAAAAGGACAAAGACGGTTGCCACAGTCTCCCTCAGTCAAGCATGGCTGGCTGCTTGGAAGCCCATGAGTGGGAAACTAAGCATACCAGCGTTGCCTGGGTCATGAAGTGGCAAGCCAGAGGCTTGCAGCCGGTGCGGCCCGTAGTGGTCATGACGCAGAAGCTATCAGTGAAAGCCGGGGAGGCGGTCGAATTGGTCAAGTAGGCACAGGCGAGGTCGGGGTTTCAATAATTGGTAGCAAACAAACGTGTTGAAAAGGTTTTTT